ATAATGGGGCGTTTATTGCGGCGCGACAAAGTAATTAAAGCCAGCAAATCCAGTTCCAGCACTGAAGGGTGCAGAAATATGAGGATCAACAAACAGTTATCTTGTAACAGGGAGAGGGAAGAGGTTTAGAAAACGTGGCACACCCAAACGTTGCTCGAGTACCGTAATCTAATGTTTGTAGAGATTGACTGGTTCACCACTGTCCTTTTCCCGGGTGTAGGCAGAAGTCCCCATACCCTAGCTCAAAATTGTTTCTTCGCGCGTTCCAGCACTGAACGTCCTCCATATAAATCTTCTCTTGACGAGGTTATAATTGCTCTAATTCATTGATACGTTTTCCGATATGCTCGCTGTAATAAGGTGAAAAATAATGCGTGAGAACTAAGATTCTGCCGGCTCGTAGCATTGAAAGGTTATGTCGGATTGGGATTACTGTAATCCGACGATTTGTTGAGGTAGAATTCCCCACAATATTGGAGTGGGGCTGTGCGCCAATTGTAACTCAATTGTATTCGCCCCCATTGCGAATGTCGGCGCTAACGTAGTTTTAGAGGACACATGGGGCAAAACTATGTTGGCTCTGCGAGACCCTGTGGACACTATAACGGTGAGTAGCTGATATGGATCCTGCTGTTTTTTTGGGTCTACTTTAAAGAGCAGAAGGGAATTAAAGACAAATACCGCGATTGTATAGTGTGGGAAGTGGCGTTCAGTAGCTAACCGTTCAATGAACCTATAGTCTAAATGGGTATTCAGGGAAGAAAAAAAGCGGAAAAAAATGGAAAACAGCGTACGAAACTCCTGACACGCTCACTACGAGTTGTCGCGACCTGCTCGTTTGTCCCGAACTCGTGACAGAAAACAGTTGTTGAGTTACGGTGGGCGGAGCAACTAGGGAGGCGTCAGAACTGCCGCTTGTGAGGGCCACAACGCCTTCATTAAGGCCTCAGTGCCAGACTACTTGACACAAGGAGAGACGCGATTGCGATTCGTTGAGAGCGTGGGCGGCTTCTTGAAATGTGGTGCCGCTCCGAGCAAGCCTGTTAAGAGAAATGTTACGTGGAAATGCACTCTGTTGCCTCCCCCCCCCACACTCGTCCGAATTGCGCTCAGCGCCTCCATTTATATACAATGGTAGCAACGTATTCTGGCAATAGGCATCATTGTCAGACCCAGTACTGAACGCCTCGGCCACTGATTACAACATATTAAGGTGAAACAGTATGAGTGTGGGGGATTGGGGGGGACGCGAAGTTGTTAGGTGTCCAGGTGAACCCTGCCTTTGGAATGAAGCAGCGGGCTACTGGGGGTTCAGATCTGCAGGCTGGTGAAATTGCTAGCCCGTGCGAAATCAGGCAGACGTGGTAGCATGGAAACTAGTCCTGATCCTCTAAACCCGCTTAATCCTTTCCATATTGCCCCTTCCCCATTGATCGAGGAGCTGGCAACCTCCTATTGTTCCCATACAACCTTTACAGTAAGCGGTGTGATGAAATTTTTCATTTGACAGTATGTTGTGACGTGCAGTAGTTTTCAGTTGGTCTGAAGATGAGCTCAAGTTGTAAGCAGTTTTTTTTTGGAAAAAAAGCACCAGTTCCATCCTTGAACAAGATTCTAAGAATGATTGTCAGAGCGTCATCTATTATTCCACGCTATACTCGTTGGAGTGCCTAGACCATCATATCCGAGTGCTTGCCAGCCTGTGCAAATGGGCAACGCGAGAGAACAATGTAAAAGTGGTGATAGTTGGTGACATAAAGGCGTGAGAATCAATAGAATGGGAGGATTCAGGAAGCCTGTGTGTTTCAATCGATTTGCCGCTTATTCCGGTTATACCGGAATCTGCATAATTCCATTTTTTCATGTGTTGTGTAGAGTAGCATCTTGCGAGATCGATACCTTTTCTTTAGCCCAGTGTTTATCCACAAACCAGTCAACAACAACCGATGAACGGAACGGATATAAAATCGCTTCACGCCCAGTTACAAAGGGAACGAATGATGAGGGAAAACGCTGAGCGTGAATTACATCATCTAAAGGTATGCAGCTTTGAGGAAGACTTTCCTTTTTACTTTTCCAATCGAATGAACTTTTTTGTTTGCGGAATAGGTCGTAAAAGAGGAGAAAACACATGTGCTACTTATCCATTACTGTTCCACGTGTCGAGAATTCGACCGAATTTTGATCGATTTTTTCCCTTTTGAGTGAATTTGTCTAGAAGTTTGTCACAGCATGTAACTCAATCCCATGAACACGAATATCACAACGACTGACGCAAAAACGCTTATCGCCGGCGATAGAAGATGAAAACTCATCACATTAATTAAACGCATGATTCCCTAGGTAGTTTAATCCCGGGTATCATGACGGATAGCGCGAATACAATTATCGCCCGCGCTAGAAGACCAGAATCATAAGTCGAAAACATGTCTCCTGAGGTGGTATAGTTTCGTCAATAGGGATAACATGGGCCGGATACGTTCCTATTTTCGGAATGAATCAGTCCTCTCAAAGGCGAATTCGTGCTCCCTGAGTACAAAGATCGCTCCCAATACTAGCGTTACAAAGTCGGCCCCAAACCAATCGAGGCCTATGGAGAGAAGGTCGAACCACCTTCGTGGCCGAAATTTCCACCAGTCCTAGGGCTTTCCCAGGTAAAATCTCTTAAAATGTCGCTTGAATTTTGAAAATTCTGCGGTAGAATGTAACGCAGCTGAAATTCAAACAGTCATGCAGTCATAGTGTAAGTAGTGCCAGAAAATGATGTGGTAATTCCCTCAGTATTCTCAAGCAATTTCTAACGAACGGCTTTTTGTATAAAGGCAGTTGGCACGATAAATCCCTGAGACGACTAGGATTAATGCGCCTGCCAGGACGAAATTCCGCGCCCCTGATACTTATAAGGCCCTATCGAGCTCAACATACTGACCCGGACGCTCACCGCGCCCACACGCCCAATGGACAAACGTACCTATGCTCGTTGTTGCCTTCATTTGCCGAAGTAAATTATGAACGCGCGGGATCGAATATGAAGCGGACTGTGTACTGCATGGATATATGAGTATTGCATACGTGCAGCCTATCTAACATGGCGATTGTTCGCACGACACACACGGAAAACTCGTCCGAAAATGCTTTTTGAGTCATTAGGAATGGAAGGCTTTTCTTCGCACGTTTCTCACCTTTTCTCTTCGTTTTTTTCCATTCTCCCACTATGTGGCACCCCGCTAGCATTTTCGACTGAATACCAAATTGTCGTGCCATGTGCCTTTAATAATGGGAACATGGCAAACCTCGACTCTCCACTATTATAAAGACCCCAGATCCGGCTCTTACTGTGGGTAGTAGGGGCAGAAAGTATTGAACTCAACAATGGAAGTTAAATAGGTTTGACTTCTTTTCATGAACTACGGTGCTTCGTAGTCATGGGATTTCGTTTGATTAATTCCGAGTCCTAGAAACTCATTTCTTTTGGCATGGCTTTGTTCTTATAGTCAGGAGGTCGTTAATGTTAGAGTTTTCAATCAATTTTTATTGGGCCCCGTTTTGCTCGGGCAGAAATGGAGCATTTGCTTGATTGGCATAACGAAAATTCAATCGAGAAGGCAACCAATCATCTAAGGCTTTATGTTTCTAGGGGTACACATCCGATTTGACACGTAACCTACAATATTCCTATTGGGTGATCTCACAATTGCAACAAGCAATCAGATTAAATGTGAGTGTTAATTCGTTTTTGGAAGCTTTCTTGGAAATAGTACGATTAGCATTGCTGTGAGGAGTTTGACATTCATTGTACTGATCTTACATAGTTCAGAATATTAATCAAGCTGAGAACGCGGTGGCTTCAGAGTTACAAGAAAAAATTGATCGATTGCAACAAGAAAACGATTTGCTGAGGAAATCCTTGCAATCGAATGACGTAAGTTCTTTTCTTCATTTACTATGCCCATTTTCTATTGGCTTAAAAGATGTGGATTTCTTATGGAGAAAAACGTGAAAGTAGATCTCAATCGCTGGCTGACCGCTGTGGGCATGCGAAGGGCTGCGGTTTGGCACGGGCACTAAACTCGTTTTGCCCAACTGGTTATTTGCTCGCTGTCGCTTCAAACAGTTGGTGAGGAACGACTGGCGCCAGCGCAGAAGCCCAGCCCCTGACACGCCCGAATATCCGCAGCGAACAAGACTGTATATTACTGTCCGGGCCTTGATCCCATGTCAGAATATTGAGAGTAGCTCGATACATCCGATTCGGCTGCGAAAGAGGCGTTGGCAAATAGCGGTGCGAGGCATAACGCGATGGGTTTAAATCTTGGATGTCGATAATCTCAACCCCCGCCCCCCGACAAATTTCCTCCTCGGGGTACGAACAACGCATCTACCACTTTACCGGTAATTCTTCCAGCTCGACAGCACCGTTCCCAAAAAAACCAATTTAGAGCGCACCCGATCGTATTATTTACGGACGAAAATATTTTTCAAAAAAAAAAAACTGCAGCCGAAGGGGAGGAATTGAATAGCGCGCGTTGAATGAGTGTAATCCAAAATTGAAAAATAGCGCAGTTCTGCCTGGCGAGAGCATTTTGTTGATTCTCATCGATCCTTGCCGATGCCTCGGGTGAGGGCGTATAAAGTGCTATGAAGCTGTGCAATTGCAAGGGTTCTGCGTACATTTGGCACGAGCTCACACGGCTCGCCAAGTTGGGACGTTTCTCAACAGAAACTAGCAAAAAAAATTGGCTAAGCGCTAATCGTCCTTCCTGCCTGAACCGCCCAACAAGTCTCGAAAAATCTATCAAAAGTAAGTATTACCCTTTCTGAGGAGACAGACAAGAGAATCGTAATCTGCCCCGCCGTCGCGCGCGATCGCGATGCGCGCCAGTAAGCGCGGGAAATTTTAACCATGAGCGTCATGCGGCAATGGTCGGCGGGGAATTCAAACTGTGCGTCAGTTTCTCGATTGGAGCAGCGAAACTCGTGAATCGTTGCGTTTTTTTTTCTATATTTCTGCACATATTCCATACGTTTTAACCATTTCCTGTTTTGTCTGTTGTCATGGCTGACGATATGGAGCACCAAAACATTTTATCATCCTTTGTATTGACGCTTTCGCGACCATTTAATATTCAAATTGGAATGGCTAGGCAGGAAAACTCGTCGCAACGCGGCGTCGCTCGCCACGCCTGCCAGCGCGGCAATTTACGGTTTTCTTGTCATATACCCCATCCCTTTCCGGCTGAGATGGAATACGACTCCCCGCGTACACTAATGTTGTACTCTGGTTGCAAATGGGTTGAGGTGTACCGCATGCTGTACGGGGACTGCCCTACTGGTTTCGATGTGGCAGTGGTCACAGCCAAGTCAACTCGCAAGGGAACATTGCTAGTTTGCGCGCGAGGTCGCGTTTTTAGATGACCTTAACAGAATCCTAGGATATACTCTTTTGTTCAATAATTTGCTAATTTCAGTTAAAAGTCGAGTGCAAAACTGAAGAGAAAGTGACGGATGGTTTTGATGTCAATGAAATAGTGAGTTAATAAGATTTCCACACTTGGAGGTTGTTGTGTTCTTATTGTAAGGCTCAATATTTTGTTTCTAGTATGGAACGAAGAACGAGTTATTGTTGATGGCCCTCAATTACGATATGACCAGTAGGCCGAAGGAGTCGGCCAATAATTCATGATGTTCCTGTTTCTATGCATATTATCGATTATTAGACCTCATATACGGATAAATAAAACTTAATGTACGTGCAGCGTCGCTGTTTTACTCTCAAAAAAGATTTCCATGTTCGTTGTGGAAACCTAGTCCGAGATGGGTTTTCTTCTATGCTTGGTCACAATCCATGGAAGGGATAATGGAACCACCAAAATGGGCCGAAAATAGAGCTTGAGAGGCTCTCGTAGTGGCGTTGATGTGAAGCCGCCCGAGCAGCTGGAAGTTGTCAACACACATCCGTGCTTACGAAGTCATGAAGAGAGGCAATCAAGGGAGGCTCTCAAGAAGTAGCAGGGGCTGAAATAACCGAGATTGAAAAGAGCATCCACATGGCCTGTCGAATCTTCGATGGCGACGAGAGCATAATTAGCTGAATCCTACGAGCGGACCAATCTTGTCTTCATCCCAGAGGTCAAAGAATGACTGCATCTCGAGGACTACTACCAGGGAAGTCCGCCAACTTACCAAGGATCTTCGATTGGAGACCTGGGTAGATCGATGAAGT